TCTTAGAAAGCTATATCTTGGTTGAAGGCACTGGCTTGCTGGCTGATATTTTAACAGAGGAATGGCCAGAGATGTCAATGCCTTGGTCCTTTCCTTACAGGCTGCTACTTCCCAATAGATAGTCATGATTTAAATTCAGTGTCGAGGTTCTCTCACACTTGAATATTATTGGGCAGATGCTGCCATTTTGAGCACATATTTTAGTGTACAATGGATTACAGTATTTCCCATCCAAGACTACTTCTATATAAAAAAACCCTATGCTAACACAATCATTTGGTAGCACTATTTACAAAGAATTCCAGATACTTTTGTATTAATGGAAAGATAGATCACACGACAGGAATATTTAGGTATCATCTTCACCTGTGAATGCCAGAAATCGGCATCCATTAGAAATGACACTATGAATGACTCATATCACACCTCTAACTAATGACACATATTGGAATAGGAATTGGTATACCGATTCAGACTGAATCAACACAAGTTCGAAACAAAAAGATCGCCAGACATGGAGTAGAGTAACTTCCTGATTAAGCCTAGAAATGCTATTTTTGGACTATGTGCTACCATGGTGACTCAAGTATTCTCGGTATTACAGTTCAAAAAATTAAGTTTGCTCCTAAAATTAAGGTGCTTAAACCTTTCATATCACTTGATTCAGTCTTGAACCAGTAGGGCTCATTTATTTTATTCACACTTAAACAAGAGTGCTATTTTATTTGATAAGTGAGACTTGCAACAGAAGGTTGCAGGATATTCCTCATCCCTTAGAAGAAGTACAGTTGTTTCTCCACATTTGAAGATTTGATTATAGATAGATGCAACTAAAAATGTTCTCTCTTGGAATCTCTACACTCTATAGAATGGCTCCAGTATGACTCTATAATCTATTTTTTCAGTCATGCTAGAGGACCTAGAGATTTCTAGAAAAAACCTAATTTCTAGGATCTTCTAGGAGAGTCTAGATCCTCCAATGCCATTCTGTGGTCTGCTTCCAGTGGAAGTTGACCATAGAGTTATACTGGGAGATCTAAAAATTCCCCAAAAGGTGTTCCCTCAGAAGAAAAAAATGTTTTTTTATTGGCGATTTCTCACTTTCACATGGGTACGGTGGACCTAACTACAGCAAATGTGGAGAGATGTCTGTACAATTATTTAGTATGTTGTACAACTAGCCAACCATACTGTCCTTAAGAATGCTGCATACTAATAATGGGGAACCCACAGACCCTCAAGACACTGTTGGAACATCCTTGACAACTGATGGGACTGACAGTAGTTAGAGGCCAACAATATCCTGAGCACTACAGATCCCCCACCTTTGCTATTGGATTATTATTATTTTTTTGCTTATTTTTAAGGTATACTTCTCTTGTGTTTGTAGTACATTCTAGAATCTTGGAATTCTTTCTAGTATAAAATAGTTGCCTCTTGTTTCTCAGTGCATATACTTTGATTCTAATTCTGCCAATAGTCACTAATCTAAGTTCATTACTAAAGAAAATAGCAAGGTTTTTGAATATGTTATTTCCAGAGTGAGCTTGAATAATGATTTATAAGCATCCTGCCCACAAGTAGCTCTATAGTTTTATCATTTAGGGGCAACAAATCAAGAAGACTCAGTGCTATTTCTTTTGATTAGTGACCAATGATTCCAGACTGTGCATAAAGCTGAAAACTATTGTAACATCGCTTAAATTGATATATTCCGAAACAGATCACAGCTAAACACTATCTATTTAATAAAGCCACACATTTCCAAATTTCAAGGCTATCTTGCTTCCAGTGATGCAGTGAAAAAATTATCTCAAGTTAAAAGGATCAACACTGCTGAATAGTAGACAGGATTATGATTCATGTTTCTGGAAAATTTCAAGATATATAATTCAAGGAATAATGTATATAAATAGAAACGTAATGTTCATTTGTGGGATTAACATAACTCAAAAACCACTAGATGAATTGACACCAAATTTGGATACAATACACCTATCAGGCCAACAAGTGACCATCACTCATAAAAACACTGAAAAACACAACAGAAGAGGCTTAAAAAGCCAAAAAACAAAAAATGCATTACAACACATGCGCAAAACCACATATACACACAAACACACATACACACACACACATATACACAGACTGGGCCACAGCAACGCGTGGCAGGGGACAGCTAGTGGAATGATAAAAATGAAATAGCTTCAGCCATAAGGTTATTATTCTTTCATATGTAAACCTGGGTAACTATATTCCACTTGCTTTATAAAAACATTCACTGTATTTGCTGCCCCCCAGCCAGAATTCACCTTGAACTCAACACCAGCCAGGAATTCCAAAAGTGATAATAAAACAGTTTATTAAGAAAAGTACATATAAAAAGAAAAAGTCACCATAAGAAATAAGAAAGGCAAAATCCAATAGGTAATGGGGAAAAGAGTCAACAAGTAATAAGTCAATCCAAACTAGTGATAGGAAAAAACAATCCAAACAGTCCAAATCCGTTCCATAAAACTAGATACAGGAAAACCTGAATCAAAACGGTGAACATAAATCCAGGAAAACAAGGATCAAAACATAAATATGAATCCAAAAGCAAAACTGTACAAACTTCTTAAAACATGAATCCAAACTCCCAAGATCTTAGACTCAAAACATGAACTGGAGACCAGGTTAGAGATCCTCACTGCTTTGCAGTGTTGCCTGAACTGAATTCTAAAGAGAACAATTCCCTGATTTGAGGTCCACAAGCCATGAAGTCATGTCTGTAACCTTGACTGCCTTGCCTATGAGATTTCTCACAGAGTCTCTGTGACCTTCTTAATTTGCTTGCTTGTTCCCTAAGATGAAGTCTGAGATTTCTGCTATCCGCAGGTGTGTTTTCAGGTGAACTTTCTTGCCCATCCAACTTCTTATCTGGGGTTGCTATGAGACAACTCCCTGTCTGCTGGACTCTGAGGCAGTTTCACTTTCAAGCCCATTCTCACATACAGGATCTAAACTGGGTTGTTGTAGGCTTTTCGGGCTATATTACCATGTTCTAGAAGCATTCTCTCCTGACGTTTCGCCTGCATCTATGGCAAGCATCCTCAGAGGAAATTTTCCTAGCGCTAAACAGACCTCACAACCTCTGAGGATTCTTGCCATAGATGCAGGAGAAACGTCAGGAGAGAATGGTTCTAGAACATGGCCATATAGTCTGAAAAATCTACAACAACCCAGTGATTCCAGCCATGAAAGACTTTGACAATACAAGGATCTAAACTCCCCTCATTTATCTCATTGAAAGACCCATCCACTCTCCCAGGCTCAGGAATAACAATCCCCTCATCATCAGCTGGCTGAACCACAACACTAATGTTCAACAGTGGCGTGCCTGATATATACAAGAGAATGAACTACAAAAATGGCCTAAAACCATTAATTTACAAGGTTTTCTAAACATTTATTCACTAAACTCTAATTAAATTCAATGAATAGTTAGATGAATTAGCTGCTAATAAAATATTATTTATATTAAAAATATATGAAGAAAAGCTAGAGTTGCGGTGGTCATTAGTCAACTAGTAAAAAGACAGTTCACTGGGGTACCAAAATAAAGATTTAGTTCCAGAATAAATCTACAGTTTGCTTAAACTTGAAATCAGTGTTTTTTTCTGCAAAGGGTATGAAGTATTATGGCAGCTTTAAAAACAAAATATCTGAGCTCAAAGGTCTTATGTAACTCATTGCTCTTCCACTGTTAACAAAAGGAAGCATTTCAGCAAGGGTTAAGTAAGCATTATCTGAATACACCGCCTAGAAAATAGAAACACTTGTTTGATTATTGATGGAGAGGAATGCATTCTTTGTAAACAGAGGCAGACAGGCAGGAGGAATGAAATGAACTGAGCTCCAAGTGTTCATTTAAAAAATCCAATCATCCTCCCATGTAATTTTGCCAATAACTTTAATAGATGCAATCCCTTTAAATTTTATGAACTATAGGATAGGTCAGTAAATTGCTTCAGTAAATTACTAGACAGAGATTACTAGACTGGAGCATGAAGATATAATATTAGGTTATCTGAGGATAGCAGATAGAACAGAGAGCGTTTTGAGAAGGGCAATATAGGCAGAACATGCTGCTCAAACATTAGATAAATGTGTTATCGAAGGCTTTCATGACCGGAATCACTGGGTTGCTTTGAGTTTTCCAGGTTGTATGGCCATGTTCCAGAAGCATTCTCTCCTGACGTTTCGCTCACATCTATGGCAGGCATCCTCAGAGATTGTGAGGTCTGTTGGAAACTAGGCAAGTAAGGTTTATATATCTGTGGAATGTCCAGGGTGGGAGAAAGAATTCTTGTCTGCTTGAGGCAAGTGTGAATGTTGCAATTGGTCAGCCTGATTAACACAGAATGTTCTTGCAGCTTCAAAGCCTGGCTGATTGCTGCCTGGGGCAATCCTTTGTTTGGAGGTGTTAGTTGGCCCTGATTGATTCTTGTCTGGAATTCCCCCTCTTCCAACTCTATGATTCATCAGGAAGGATGGGTCTGGGGCCTTGACAGGTCGGAGAAGAAGGCCCCATGAGCCTAATCCAGTTCTTGCTTAAATGTTTCCCATTCCTGTTCTTAGATTAGAACCATTGGAAACATCCAACAGGAGACCATGGGGATATCAAATGAAGAAACATTATCAGGGCTTTCCTCACATACTCATGACTAACTCCACAACTCTAATATGAACAGTTCATATATGAGTCTTTCTTTTTAAAACAAAATCATAGGAAATATAATCTGTAGCATTTTGATCACTCAACTGTACTGAAGTTTAGAAGACACAATATTTTAGCAATGATCACGAAAAGAAATATATGGATGGTTTACAGCTGCTCTTCCAAATATCATCTTCATCCTGTCAACTGTTTAGGTCAACTGTTTGTCTAAAATATTGACCAAGAAAACATGTTTTTAAAGGGGAGGGGGTACAAAAATATATAAGACATTACAGCCTACCTGGAACTTGGTCTTGACTTGTTCAGTGCTTTGCTGAAAACCAGGGACGGTGCTGATTGACGTCTTTGGGCCAAGCTCTTCATTTTCTGCTAACAAAGAAAGAAAATCAAATGTAAGAAATCCTTATTTATTTATTTATTTATTTGTAGTATTTCTATTCCGCCCTTCTCACCCCAAAGGGGACTCAGGGTAGATCACATAACACATATACAGCAAACATTCAATGCCAATTATATAATGACAAGACAGAAAACAGATAGAGGTATATATAGACTTTCCCATCTTTCAGCATCTTTGGAGGCTGTGCTCAGTTCTGGCCACAAGGGGGTGCTGTTGCTTCCTCTCCTTGCTAAAGAGCTTTCTTTGTTCGTAAACTTCCTCCTTTTTCTGATCTAAACGCATTGCCTAAATACCTCCCTGCTTTAATGCGGTTTCTATTTATCTACTCACTTTTAATGGAGGCTGATAAAAAAATCACTCTTTGACGCATTTTGGTAGAATCTTTCAATTAGTCTGAGTACAAAGTTTGACAAAACATATCAAATTGTTCTCCTTTTTTGTATAGAATATGAATCTATTCCTTCTATTTCCAAGTTATGTCTACTTCTGGTACCAAATATTCTGTTAAAGAAGTAATTCCTGGGAACGTATCTTTGTTAATGGAAGTATACCTATACTTTCCCCATAAGGTATGACTTGTAACAAAAAATTGTTATTATTTGTTTTGTTATTTGCCATATTAATTAGGTCTTTAATCAAGTTCCAATTTTTTTAAAAAATCACACAATCCAGTATAAAGTATTAAAACCCTAAACAATTGACTTCGGACAAGGTTAATTCATAAGTGTTTTATCAATTTTCTTTTTGTTTTGGCCCAATGACAAGCAGCAAAGCCTACAAACAGTAATCAACAACAGTGGAAAAAATGATTAAATTTAATCCGTGATATATTTTAGATTTGGCAGCAGTGTATCACTTGTCTTTTAAATCAAACTTAGGTAGAAAAAAAGAATTTTTTACAAATATATGTAGATATTTTAAAAGTTGGGGACATTTCCCTCTGATATGGTTTAATGCTGAACTTTTAAGTTTTCAGGCTCCGTTGAACACTGAACACAGACCCATACGAACAAATGTACACAAACAGCGGAAGTAGATTAATACTTGGCAGTGTTGTGCCCGTCCTCCCAGACTTCAGGCCTTTCCCTGTGGAACTTTAAAATTGACATGGCTCAGACAGTCCTAATCTTGTTCCAAAGTGCTACCGGAGGTATGTCTCCATGCGGGTGAGCCAATAAAAAACACGCCAGTTTCCAGTACTGAAGAAACCCCACTCAGAGAACTCATCACATCCAGGAAACCTTCAAGCAAGTTATTTACTCTTCCATCCTGTTTCTTAGAAAGAATGTCTTTATGGGCAGAGAGATGACCATAAAACTGAATTTAAAATTTCCCCTGATGTGAACTTAATTCAAAATTAATTTGGATTACATATGGAAGAAATCTGGTGTTCCAGACAACTACCATATATACCCGAGTATAAGCCAACCTGAATATAAGCCTCAGCACCTAATTTTACCACAAAAAACTGGGAAAATGTATTGACTCAAGTATAAGCCGAGGGTGGGAAATGCCACAAAAAAAAGATGCCAATGAAATTACATTAATTGAGGCATCAGTAGTTCAAATGTTTTTGAATATTTACATAAAACTGTAATCTATATAAATAAAAATGTAATGTTCATTTCTGGGATTAACATCACTCAAAAACCACTGGACAAAGTGACACCAAATTTGGACACAAAACACCTATCAGGCCAATGAATGACCATCATTCATAAAAATACTGAAAAACACAGCAGAAGGGACTTAAAAAGCCAGAAAACAAAAATTACATTACAACGCAGGCACAAAACCACATATATATGCAAATACACATATACACAAATATATTCACACACAAAACACATATATGTAGACTGGGCCACAGCAACGTGTGGCAGGGGAAGGCTAGTTTAAGATAAGATTGTCGATCTCTGATTAAACCCATTATTCTAACCTTCTTCAATGTATATTCGAGTCAAGGTTATTTATTATTTTAGTCTGTTATTAGTATTATTTTATTACATTTATTATTTTACTGTATTTATTATTATTATTATTATTGCATTTACATTATTTTACTCCGTTATTATTATGTTTGTTACATTTATTATTTTATTCTATTGATTATTGATTTTACATTTATTACTTTATTGGTTATTACTGTTATTATTACATTTACTATTTTACTCTATTATTGTTGTTATTATTACATTTATTATTTTACTCTCTTTATTATCATTACATTTATTATTTCACTCTCTTTATTATTGGAAGACTACGTAAGAACATTTACATTGAAGAAAGTTACAATAATGGTTTAATATTCGAGTCAAGGTTATTTATTATTTTAGTCTGTTATTAGTATTATTTTATTACATTTATTATTTTACTGTATTTATTATTATTATTATTATTATTATTGCACTTACATTATTTTACTCCATTATTATTATGTTTATTACGTTTATTATTTTATTCTATTGATTATTGTTTTTACATTTATTACTTTATTGATTATTACTGTTATTATTACATTTATTATTTTAATCTATTATTAATGTTGTTGTTATTACATTTATTATTTTACTCTCTTTATTATCATTACATTTATTATTTCACTCTCTTTATTATTATTGGAAGGATACTTAAGCACATTTACATTGAGGAAGGTTACAATAATGGTTTAATCAGAGTTGGACAGCCTTATCTTAAATTACAGTTTATGTAAATATTCAAAAACATTTAACTTACTAATGCCTCAATTAATGTTATTTTATTGGTATCTATTTTTATTTACCAATAACTGCTGTATTTCTCACCCTCGGCTTATACACGAGTCAATATGTTTTCCCCTTCTTTTTGTGGTAAAATTAGATGCCTTGGCTTATATTCGGGTCGGCTTATACTTGAGTATATACAGTATATAAATATTTCAAGAAAAATCTCAAGCTATATCTCATTTTTTATAAAATGATTTTTCTATTTCTTCTTTAAATATGTGTTCTGTTGCGTTCTGGGCCTGTAAAGAATTGTCTTTAAGTTAGGACGTGCAACTTGAGCCCAGCGGGAAGCCAGGCCCCCTGAAAAGAAGCTCTCAGGGATCTTCCACCACAAATGGTCTTTAAATGGCTTGTGATGTATAACAAAGTCCTTTATTAATGAACAATCAAACAGAAACTTTTCTTGTCTTCAATAAAGTTAAACAAATGCTTCCAGACTTTTATGCAACTGGTGGCTTCCTAATCTTGTCCATGAAGGACAGGCAAATGTCTTCAGTAACTGTTACTTTACTTTAAGGAAAATCCCTTTTTGACTTCTCCCAGGCTGACTGTAATCTAATCCTTACTGACGTGGGCTCCGCTACCAGGTCAATCTGCGTCTCGAGCACCGAGTGGATCTACCAGTAAAGGCCAGTAGATTCCCCAGCTGGAGTTTTGTGGTCTTCCAAACTGTTTACCCTCCGAAATTCCTCAAGGCTTTAGAGCTGTTTCCCTGGAAATCTTTGGATGTTCTTGAGACTGTTTCCCCCCAGAAAGTCTTAAGGGTTGAAGCTTTTGTACAGGAGGAGCTTGAACACGTCCTGTACATTAGCTTTCCTTACTGAGACTAACTAAAAAATGGCTCCCTTCCCTTCCCAATTGCCTTGAGCAAGGGGTGGAACCAAAACTTAATGATGATGGACAGATGACTTGCCCTATGACTGCAACCAAAGGAAGCCACCTATCTGCAGAGTTCCTGAAACCTTGGACTGCAAGCAAATATTTAATACAAAGCAAATAAAATTGGAGCTCCTGGTACAGCCGTACCAGAACAACATGACCAATTACATGTTGGTCGTGTTTTCACCCCTGAATCCCTTCAGAGGTGAGAAAGGTGGCATATAAATAATGTAAATAAATAAATAAAAATTAAATGTTAACTGGGTAACACAAACAGTTTTAACAACCGGTAACGAGTACCTTTTGCAAGAGCTAAACTGATGCTAAGGCCCAGGTTATCACTTCTAGGGGAACAGACTTGCTGAGCCAACTTGAACATGTATTCTCTGCTTCTGATATTAAAGTTTTTATTGGGAGATTAGTGCTGCTTTAAACACTGTATGTTATGTTAACCTGTGCATAGCTGTGGTTGGATGAACTCGCAATGGCCTATGACTAGACAATAAAACTGCCAGAGATTTCAACAGAGTTTCCAAATAAATTAGATTAGCGCTGCAATTTTAGAGTACTTCTATTTCACAAATTTCCATGTAAGTAATCACGGAAGTTAACATTTTTTGTCATAGAGCAGTACAGTGAAACAATATGAGACCTGAAACATGGCCATACAGCCTGGAAAACTCACAGCAATCTAATATTAGACCTACTCATTATTCAAAGCTCAAAGCAGATGAGTACACACAAAAATAGGTAAATACTAGTATCCTAAAGATACCAGATACCATTTGATCTTGGGAGCTAAGAAGGGTCAACCTTGGTTAGCACTTGGATGGGTGGCCAGTAAAAAATACCAGGTGTTGTAGGGTGTAATTCAGAGCAAGAACTTAGTAAAATAACCTTTGAGTATCCCTTGCTTAGGGAAATCCTATGAAATTCATGAGGTCAACATTTCCTGACCAACTACAGTGGCTCTTAACCTTAAAAAAAATATTATTATTGTTTTTTACTACAAACCCCTTTCTCCCACCTGGACATTCCACAGATATATAATCACCATTTTTTCCTAGTTTCCAACAGACCTCACAACCTCTGAGGATGCCTGCCATAGATGCAGGCGAAACGTCAGGAGAGAATGCTTCTAGAACATGGCCATATAGCCCGAAAAACATACAACAACCCCTTTTAAATTGTTTCTGTTAGCACGGATCGCCAAGGCTTAACTCAAGATTTAAATCTCTCCATGAAATATTTATTTAAAGTTGCTTATCGTGGCTCTACAGATTAGGAGAGAAATAAGTAAATGCAAATTTGAAGAAAAATAAATA